TCACGGTCATGTGACTGCTCCGTTTCTGCATGGCTTAGCTGAAATCCAGTTTAATACCGTGCGCAGTGAGTGTCCGGGGTTACAAAGTCATTGCTGGCAGCTAAAACCGCCTCTGCTGTGTAATGAACACGCCGAGACTTTATTCATTTAGGGTTTCATATTCCGAGGAAGATCGCTGAGCATTTCCAAAAAAACGTCATTAAAATGGGCCGTTATTATAGCTCCGCGAAGAGACTCAATTATGCCCCTCGTGTCGTGCCAGCCGCGGATCCTGCCAGTCACTCTGTCACTTCTGACGACTTTGTTCATTCATTTATGCAGATCTCCGGCTTGTTTATGAAATTACAGGGCAGACGTGATTCACTGCAATTAGAGGAGAGATGTCACTCACACAGCCAAGGAAAGGATTGAGCTCGATGTATATGTACAGCCGGGCTCTAGTGATTGGATAGGCTGCATTCTCAGTGATGTCACCGGTCTCTAGTGACTGGATAGGCTGCATTCTCAGTGATATCACCGGTCTCTAGTGAATGGATAGGCTGCATTCTCAGTGATGTCACCGGTCTCGTGTTCTTTGACTAATCACGCTTTCCTATTATGTAAATTTTATACAATGTTATTTCATCTAAGGCAGAAAATACTTTTTCATGTCTTTGTTTTCCTGTATGTATCAGTGCGGAAGTCATGTTGTCAAGGAAACGCAAACCATTCGACTTTCATTTAACAATACCACAGCGCCGACAGCATTGGGTGTTGCTGCAACATTCGTCCACAAGTGGGCAGCGTCTGCACAATTGTAGGTGACGGCCGTAGAATGCTCAGATTTTGACAGCAAATCTTTTTGTAACCTTCGATCTGTTCAGTGTCACTGAATGTGGTAAAGTGACGAGAATAAAAATATTACTACTTTGATGACTTGTAACTGTGGCGTGAACAGGGGGAGCCGTGTGTGGGGGCATTAGAGTGTGCTAGCAAAAGGGATATTATTTTAAGATCACTAAAGTTGCGTTCAGGTTTTAAAGTTGAAGTTTATTTGTGCTTGTATTTTGACTTCCCTGGATTCTTCTTTTCCCCCTTTTATCAACCTTCTTAAAAATATTTTTATGACAGGGTCTTTGTCTATCTCTATGCAATGCAGGCAGATCATGGCTGGTGGGAGGGGCCGGCAGGTTGCTGTACATTGCTTCCTGAAAACATCACAGCGTCGTGCTGCAGTATTTCTCTCAAGAGCCCTGATGCATGCAATGGGCTGGCATTTGGGAGGAGTTATGCAAATATCAAAATGCCTTGATGGATTGGTATCAGTCTGTAGGGGTGGGTGTTCGTAGACAGACTACATTTGCATGCAGACCACCCTTGGTAATGTCCACATGTGATCCTGAGCCTGAAAGAAGTGAAATCCAATGAATGAAAGAGGCGGGCCAGAGACGGTCAGGCTGGGGAGGAATCTATTGGTTGATGCTGGATGTCCTCCAGCCAGGAAATGAGACGGACTCTGTCTGACTTGCTGCAGCTTCTAATGCACATTGTGAGAAGCTCGCCGTGTGCAGTGACATCAGAGGAAGCCATTTCAGTGCAGGAGAGGAGCCGGTACAACTGTGCAAGACCAGAATGATCCGTGACCGCGCAGCAATCGTGCATGACACCGCGTGGATTGCCGCACGGTCACAGAGTCGCCCACCACCAATGAAATTGTAGAAATGTCACCAGCACACCAATTCTTTTACGATAGCAAAAGCTTAATTTATTGAAGTTTTTTGTCATATGACCAAACAAGCGCTTTCGGGACCGCGCAGGGTCCCTTCATCAGGCTTTAGCATTAGCGTCAATGCTAAAGCCTGATGAAGGGACCCTGCGCGGTCCCGAAAGCGCTTGTTTGGTCATATGACAAAAAACTTCAATAAATTAAGCTTTTGCTATCGTAAAAGGATTGGTGTGCTGGTGACATTTCTACAATTTTGCTGACATTGGCGGCGCCATCCGCGGTCACTGCGAGCACCCCCCACTACAAGGGACATATCGGTAAGGAGTGCGACAAGCATAGTACTTATTGGCCCACCACCACCAATGATCGCGATGTGGGTGCCATTATTTTGTAATGGCACCCCAGTCGCACCGGGCAGATCGCGAACATAAGAAAGCCACGCGCCGTGTATCGCCAAAAAGGTACATGTACCTTTTTTTTCTGCGACTGCCGTGCAGGTGTACCCCATTAAATCAATAGGGCCGCGCGGCAATTGCTGTCTGCAATTGTGCACGACCGCGCGATCCCGGGACACATTTCGCTCAGGTCTGCACCGGCTGGAGTTCAGTTTTGACCCCTCCACACTCCATTATCAAATCTGTTTTGCTGTCTGTGTTCCCGTTGGGGAATGGGGGTTTCAAACTGAAAATGAGGAGAGGTCTCCCAAACAGCGACCCAGAACTGAATAGTTGATAGAGGGTCTCCCTAAGTTTGGGCTCTACGTGAGCTTCAGAAGATGCAGAAAGCCAGAAGGTGACAGACACCAGCTGATCCCACTGGGTTCTGTAATCTCACCGTTTGGTTGGACCGGCCAATCAGGTAAAGGAAGAAAATAAATCTAGAACAAGCTCCTCATTTTCTAACACGGGGGAGATAATTGGTTAAAAAATGAGCTTTTCCTTGCAGTCAGGCATTTACAATGTCTGATTGACACAGCTTGTCTCATCACCGTGCGGGTGCCATATGGCGTCCAGTTTTCCT